TGGCCCCCCTGCTCGCGTCTGTGCACCCACCCACCACCACCAAGCCGCCGCACCAGCGAGCTTCTCTACTCTATATAATAAATAAATATATAATAAATAAATATATTTTAAAATAATTAAAAAAAACACAAACTAAAACAAACGAAAACTTTAACGAAAACTTTATGATCTCCCCCCCCTCTGAGGCGACCTGAGCACAAGGCCCACTGATGCAGCCAAGTCCTACCCACGGTATACTACCACTAAAGGGGAGCAGAACTACAACGCAATATATTATAATATATATATATATATATATATTATAATATAGGAAAAATTATTTAAATTCTCCCAAAGATATTCTCAGATCGCCCTTTCGTGGGCCCTACTATAACCACAAGGGGGCTGTGGCGCCGTCGCTGACCCTCATACTTAATGGCTCTGTGTATTGCACTGGCACTAAAATACCGAAGCAAAGACGACGAGTAAACCCATAACTACATGCGAGAATGGGAATTATAATTATAATAATATAACTGTAGAGTAATATTTATTAAGTTGTAGCCGCGATGGGGTAGGCGGGGCCATTAAGTATGAGAGCTGCAGCTGCATCCTGTGTGACCGTCCGCCCACGCAGGGGGCTAGAAGGCACCGGTGTAGAAGTTTCGTGGACGAATGTAACAAATTTTCATCTAATATTTATTCAATAAATTAAAATAAAGGCTGTATTCTATCGCTAGTCGAGTAGATCCCCTACCCCCTTGGTGTCTGGCTGTGGCTAGGACTAGACAGCGTAGCAGCGAGAGGCACGTTAGTGTATTACATGAATGGCTCCCCCGCCCCTGAAGAGGAGTCAGCTTTCTTAACTAATTAATTTTACTGTACAATTAAACTAATGTAATTCCCATTTCTGCGCTTAATTATAAAGTTTCCGTCTTTTTTTTCCACTAGTTGTCTTCTGTTCTGTATTGTAGTGCCAGTGTACTACACTACAGCCTGTCTCGCAGGCTGAGCTGGCGAGGCAAAGTGGGCACGAGTTCGGAGTATAAAGCTTTTGTTTTGTTTGTATTGGGAAAGAAATAGTTATATTATACTATATAATTAAGTTTTATTATAGATGCCATATCACCTATAGAATGCCACGGTCAAGGCAGTGTGAGCACAGTACTGTTGAACGAGTTTCTGTTGATCCAAGCAACGGGCGGGTGTTTTATTCTATCGCGAGCTGACCCGTCAGTGCAGGAAAAAAAAAGAGTTAAGAAGAATTCACTCTTTTATAATATATTTATAAATAATTTTAATCACAAGTTGGTGCTAATTTCTCCACTGATGAACCTGCAAGTCGATGACTGTGACGGAGGGAGGTGTGTATAAGACGCAGGCAGGCATCAGGAGGATTCCTTGAGCTAATTGTTTCAGTATTAATGTATTTTCTCTTCGTATTGAATGTTTTTGTTTTAAAAATAATTTTAATTGCAGTTATATTTTATTTAATATATTTTATATATTCTCAGGGGTCCTGGGACGTTGCCGGGCAAGAACACAGTTGCCCGGCCGGCCCAGCACGAGCACCGCCGACGAGCAACAACCCCAGCACGAGCGCCGAAACGCCGCCGAAGCAAAGTATGAATGTGTTGTGTTTAATACTGTTTCAATAAAATTTATACAAACGAATGAATTTTAGGTTTCCTCTGAGCTTCTTATTCGGCTATTTCACCGCCAGTTGATGACGATGTCACCTCTCACGCTGCTCGCAGTCATCGGTGCCTCGTTCCTCTCTCTCGCCACCGCCCAGGAGCCAGGGCCAGAAACAGGGCCAACGTATACCGTAACCCTGGGTGAGTTTTCACAGTCAAAACGTATGTGATGCTAGGTCTCCAGAGCCTACGCATGTAGTGCCTGTGCACTACACTAGGCGTCATGAGCGAGCATCCAAACGTTGCAGTATGAAACTTCTACATTGCAAAACGTTCTTCACTTGCTCGAGATAATTTGCTTTCTTTGCCGCAGGTAACGATGGCGAATGCCTCGCCGCGGTCAACGCTGCTCGCCAGGCAGTTGGGTTCAGCCAGCTGATACAAGCAGGAAAAGAAGATACTGAAAAACGCCTGCCAGAAGGGGTCACTTCTAAAAAGGAAACAGACGATGATTGGGCCTGGAAGCCGGTGTGCAAGTCGTTGATTCCAGTAAGTTGTTTGCTCACCTAACAGCCCTACAGAGCATATTCAGTGGCTGCGCAACATATCTCGGTGTTTCCGCATTCTCTTGCTTTTTCAGACCACGGAGAAAAAATCAGGAGGTGATACAGGCTCTGCAGAGCAAGCTCAGTTCCAGAGCGGCACATACGCGTACCACGTTGTTGATAACCCAGAAGCCGTCGACTGCACAGCAATCGTAAACAAGTGGAAAGATGCATACAGCAACTTTGATGGATTGCCTCCATCTTACAGTACTGCGGATGAGGCGCTGTATAAAAAGCAGGATAACGTCTCGTTCGTTGCCCTGTATAACCCTTCAGAGAACGCTACTGCAGATTGCCGTGTCGTTACTTGCACTAAGACAACTCCTGCAGCTACAAGTTTCAGAGCAACAAGAAACACCCAAGATAAACAGGAAACGGAAACGGGCTACGCTTTGATCTGCATGACTGTGCCTGATGTGCTTCGCAAGGAAGAAGATAAAGCCCCCTTCACGTAAGCCCTTTCACTCTCCGCGCTTTCCTGTTCTCCTTGTACTCTTTCAGCAGATGGGATTGCCTTTTTTCTCGGCG